GTCTTGACCGCACCGCACTGTTGCAGGCGCGACCGGTTTTGCCTTTCGAGTGTAACGTCGCATCACCATCATCACCACCATCACCCCCCTCCCGCATCACCATCATCACCATCACCCCCCTCCCGCATCACCATCATCACCACCATCACCCCCCTCCCGCATCACCATCATCATCACCATCACCCCCTCTTCCGCACCATCACCCCTCCCCCTCCCGCATCACCATCACCCCCCTCCCTCCCGCACCATCACCACCATCACCCCACGTGTACACAATTCAGCACCAATGCAGCACGCGAATTGCGAATCGCACAGCAGCAGCAGCAGCGCCCTCAAGACGAGGGCTCGTAACGCACGGGGCAGTGTCATACGCACACTTTTACGAGTGTTTTGTTTCACCACAAACAGAAAGCGTGGAACCACCACCACGAGGAGGAGGGAGTGACACAAAGCAGCTCACGCGGCTGTTCAAAGTCGTCGCACCAGGCGGCCGACTGACAACACCCGACGGTATCAACCCGCTGAAGGCTCCACACGACGCCCAGGAGTGAACCACAATCTCCAAGCTCTCGTGTCGGTCGCTCGATACTCTCCATGGTGTTGGCCCGGCAGGCCCGAGGGGCACGTCGAGAGGGTTACCTGACCCACAACGCCACCGCTCCGGTGACGTTGTGGGGTTGGTGAAGGAAGGAAGAGGGGGGGGGTCATAGACGTGGGAGCGCAGTGCGGTACAACGGAGTTTGCAACAATGCTGCACACAACGAAGCCCGCTCCCCCCCAAGCCTATAACACCTGTTGTGCGCGGGTGGGTGTCCAGCATAACGCCCGGCACATCTAACCAGGTACTGATTTCAGGGCCGAGTCGACCTAGGAGAGACTCGAGACCGGTCCAGGTATCCGTCATCGATGTTGGCCCCGCACGGAGCACACGGGGGACACGTGGAGTGTGACAGGGACACAACTTTACTACAACGTCTCGTCACACTTGCAGCAACAGTGACGGCGCCTGTGCCAGGCTAGGTGCACGTTGAGGCCACGCGAAGTGTCGTCAGCTCGCTGCTGTGCAAGGTGCCATGGGTTGACTGTCGAGATGAGTGGCAAGATGGACCAACTGTGACCGCCTCCTACCGTGCCACCTACTATGCCAATACTCACACACAGTGTAACACTCACACACACAGTGTAACACACACACAGTGTAACACTCACACACACAGTGTAACACTCACACACACACAGTGTAACACTCACACACACAGTGTAACACTCACACACACAGTGTAACACTCACACACACACAGTGTAACACTCACACACACACAGTGTAACACTCACACACACACAGTGTAACACTCACACACACACAGTGTAACACTCACACACACACAGTGTAACACTCACACACACACAGTGTAACACACACACAGTGTAACACCCACACACACACAATGTAACACTCACACACACACAATGTAACACTCACACACACACAGTGTAACACTCACACACACACAGTGTAACACTCACACACACAGTGTAACACTCACACACACACAGTGTAACACTCACACACACACAGTGTAACACTCACACACACACAGTGTAACACTCACACACACACAGTGTAACACTCACACACACACAGTGTAACACTCACACACACACAGTGTAACACTCACACACACACAGTGTAACACTCACACACACACAGTGTAACACTCACACACACACACAGTGTAACACTCACACACACACAGTGTAACACTCACACACAGTGTAACACTCACACACACAGTGTAACACTCACACACACACAGTGTAACACTCACACACACAGTGTAACACTCACACACACAGTGTAACACTCACACACACACAGTGTAACACTCACACACACACAGTGTAACACTCACACACACACAGTGTAACACTCACACACACACAGTGTAACACTCACACACACACAGTGTAACACTCACACACACACAGTGTAACACTCACACACACACAGTGTAACACACACACAGTGTAACACCCACACACACACAATGTAACACTCACACACACACAATGTAACACTCACACACACACAGTGTAACACTCACACACACACAGTGTAACACTCACACACACAGTGTAACACTCACACACACACAGTGTAACACTCACACACACACAGTGTAACACTCACACACACACAGTGTAACACTCACACACACACAGTGTAACACTCACACACACACAGTGTAACACTCACACACACACAGTGTAACACTCACACACACACAGTGTAACACTCACACACACACACAGTGTAACACTCACACACACACAGTGTAACACTCACACACACACAGTGTAACACACACACACAGTGTAACACTCACACACACACAGTGTAACACTCACACACACACAGTGTAACACTCACACACACACAGTGTAACACTCACACACACACAGTGTAACACACACACAGTGTAACACCCACACACACACAATGTAACACTCACACACACACAATGTAACACTCACACACACACAGTGTAACACTCACACACACACAGTGTAACACTCACACACACAGTGTAACACTCACACACACACAGTGTAACACTCACACACACACAGTGTAACACTCACACACACACAGTGTAACACTCACACACACACAGTGTAACACTCACACACACACAGTGTAACACTCACACACACACAGTGTAACACTCACACACACACACAGTGTAACACTCACACACACACAGTGTAACACTCACACACACACAGTGTAACACTCACACACACACAGTGTAACACACACACACAGTGTAACACTCACACACACACAGTGTAACACTCACACACACACACAGTGTAACACTTACACACACACAGTGTAACACTCTCACACACACACACAGTGTAACACTCACACACACAGTGTAACACTCACACACACAGCGTAACACTGACACACACACAGTGTAACACTCACACACAGCGTAACACTCACACACACACAGTGTAACACTCACACACACACAGTGTAACACAGTGTAACACTCACACACACAGTGTAACACTCACACACACACAGTGTAACATTCACACACACACAGTGTAACACACACACACACAGTGTAACACTCACACACACACAGTGTAACACTCACACACACACAGTGTAACACTCACACACACAGTGTAACGCTCACACACACACAGTGTAACACTCACACACACACACAGTGTAACACTCACACACACAGTGTAACACACACAGTGTAACACTCACACACAAAGTGTAACACTCACACACACACAGTGTAACACTCACACACAGTGTAACACTCACACACACACAGTGTAACACACACACACAGTGTAACACTCACACACACACACAGTGTAACTCACACACACAGTGTAACACTCACACACAGTGTAACACTCACACACAGTGTAACACTCACACACACAGTGTAACACTCACACACAGTGTAACACACACACAGTGTAACACACACACAGTGTAACACACACACAGTGTAACACTCACTCACACACAGTGTAACACTCACACACACACAGTGTAACACTCACACACACACACAGTGTAACACTCACACACACACAGTGTAACACACACAGCGTAACACTCACACACACAGTGTAACACTCACACACACACAGTGTAACACTCACACACACACAGTGTAACACTCACACACACAGTGTAACACACTCACACACAGTGTAACACTCACACACACACAGTGTAACACTCACACACACACAGTGTAACACTCACACACACAGTGTAACACTCACACACACACAGTGTAACTCACATACACACACAGGGTAACACTCACACACAGTGTAACACTCACACACACACAGTGTAACACTCACACACACACAGTGTAACACTCACACAGTGTAACACTCACACACACACAGTGTAACACTCACACACACACAGTGTAACACACACACAGTGTAACACTCACACAGTGTAACACTCACACACACAGTGTAACACTCACACAGTGTAACACTCACACACACAGTGTAACACTCACACACACACAGTGTAACACTCACACACATACAGTGTAACTCACATACACACACAGTGTAACACTCACACACAGTGTAACACTCACACACACACAGTGTAACACTCACACACACACAGTGTAACTCACACACACACAGTGTCACACTCACACACACAGCGTAACATACACACACACAGTGTAACACTCACACAGTGTAACACACACACAGTGTAACACACACACAGTGTAACACACACACAGTGTAACACTCACACACACAGTGTAAAACAGTGTAACACTCGCACACACAGCGTAACACACACACGTGTACTGTATCACACACGTGTACTGTATCACACACGTGTACTGTATCACACACGTGTACTGTATCACACACGTGTACTGTATCACACACGTGTACTGTATCACGTGTACTGTATCACGTGTACTGTATCACACACGTGTACTGTATCACACACGTGTACTGTATCACACACGTGTACTGTATCACACACGTGTACTGTATCACACACGTACTGTATCACGCGTACTGTATCACGCGTGTACTGTATCACACTTGTACTGTATCACACACGTGTACTGTATCACACACGTGTACTGTATCACACACGTGTACTGTATCACACACGTGTACTGTATCACACACACTGTGCAACATGCAGACTAATTTTCACGCGCGCGCGGCGTTTACACAATCTCATACACAGACAAAGCTGCCCCGTTTAGCCTCACAGGCTGCTGGGGAAAGTTGTTGTTAGCGAGCACCTATGAAGGCACACAGTGTAACACACACAGCGCGGATGTGCTTCACGCACGTGACCACCGCTCCATTTAAAAGGCTGCTGTTAGTATTGGTTATGCGGGGGGGCTAGGGGGAGCAATAAGTTCAGGTCAAGGTCAAGGTCAGGGGCTTACGGTCAATGCAGGCGGCCGTGGAGATCGACCTGAGGGCGGGCGGGCGGCGTAGCAGCAGCCTCATCACGGACGCCATGGCTTCGAGCTGCTCCTCCTCCACGCAGACTCCAGAGCGACACCACCTGGCTCCAGCCCAGCTGGGACTGACACAGAGGCATTCAAACCCCCACGTGGCCAAACTTAACCTCAACAGCTGGGGGGTAACACAGGGGCATTTAAACCCCACGTGGCCAAACTTAACCTCAACAGCTGAGGGGTAGCACAGGGGCATTTAAAACCCACGTGGCCAAACTTAACCTCAACAGCTTGGGGGTAACACAGGGGCATTTAAACCCCCACGTGGCCAAACTTAACCTCAACAGCTGAGGGGTAACAGGAGCATTTAAACCCCACGTGGCCAAACTTAACCTCAACAGCTTGGGGGTAACACAGGGGCATTTAAACCCCCACGTGGCCAAACTTAACCTCAACAGCTGGGGGGTAACACAGGGGCATTTAAACCCCCACTTGGCCAAACTTAACCTCAACAGCTGGGGAGTAACACAGGGGCATTTAAAACCCACGTGGCCAAACTTAACCTCAACAATTGAAGGGTAGCACAGGGGCATTTAAACCCCACGTGGCCAAACTTAACCTCAACAGCTGGGGGGGGGGGGGGGTGGGGGTAACACAGGAGCATTTAAACCCCCACGTGGCCAAACTTAACCTCAACAGCTGGGGGGTAACACAGGGGCATTTAAACCCCCACGTGGCCAAACTTAACCTCAACAGCTGGGGGGTAACACAGGGGCATTTAAACCCCACGTGGCCAAACTTAACCTCAACAGCTAGGGGGTAACAGGGGCATTTAAACCCTCACGTGGCCAAACTTAACCTCAACAGCTTGGGGGTAACACAGGGGCATTTAAACCCCACGTGGCCAAACTTAACCTCAACAGCTGGGGAGTAACACAGGGGCATTTAAACCCCACGTGGCCAAACTTAACCTCAACAGCTGAGGGGTAGCACAGGGGCATTTAAACCCCCACGTGGCCAAACTTAACCTCAACAGCTGAGGGGTGACACAGGGGCATTTAAACCCCACGTGGCCAAACTTAACTTCAACAGCTGAGGGGTAACACAGGGGCATTTAAACCCCCACGTGGCCAAACTTAACCTCAACAGCTTGGGGGTAACACAGGGGCATTCAAACCCCCACGTGGCCAAACTTAACCTCAACAGCTGAGGGGTAACACAGGGGCATTTAAACCCCCACGTGGCCAAACTTAACCTCAACAGCTGGGGGGTAACACAGGGGCATTTAAACCCCCACGTGGCCAAACTTAACCTCAACAGCTGGGGGGTAACACAGGGGCATTTAAACCCCCACATGGCCAAACTTAACCTCAACAGCTGGGGGGTAACACAGGGGCATTTAAACCCCCACGTGGCCAAACTTAACCTCAACAGCTGGGGGGTAACACAGGGGAATTTAAACCCCACGTGGCCAAACTTAACCTCAACAGCTAGGGGGTAACACAGGGGCATTTAAACCCTCACGTGGCCAAACTTAACCTCAACAGCTGGGGGGTAACACAGGGGCATTTAAACCCCACGTGGCCAAACTTAACCTCAACAGCTTGGGGGTAACACAGGGGCATTTAAACCCCCACGTGGCCAAACTTAACCTCAACAGCTGGGGGGTAACACAGGGGCATTTAAACCCCCACGTGGCCAAACTTAACCTCAACAGCTGGGGACTGACACAGGGGCATTTAAACCCCACGTGGCCAAACTTAACCTCAACAGCTTGGGGGTAACACAGGGGCATTTAAACCCCCACGTGGCCAAACTTAACCTCAACAGCTGGGGGGTAACACAGGGGCATTTAAACCCCCACGTGGCCAAACTTAACCTCAACAGCTGGGGACTGACACAGGGGCATTTAAACCCCCACGTGGCCAAACTTAACCTCAACAGCTGAGGGGTAACACAGGGACATTTAAACCCCCACGTGGCCAAACTTAACCTCAACAGCTGGGGGGGGGGGGGTAACACAGGAGCATTTAAACCCCACGTGGCCACACTTAACCTCAACAGCTGGGGGGTAACACAGGGGCATTTAAACCTCACGTGGCCAGTCGTAGCCCCAATAGCTGGGGGCTAACATAGGGGCGTTAACAACTGCACGGGGCCTCAATAACTGGCCATGATACCGGGACATTTGAACCACCACGTGGTCAGTCAGATTTAACATCTGGGGGTGACAGATGTGATGCTGTTTGAATCAGGTAACGGACGTTGTCTTACATATGTCGTGTACGACTCCGGAGACAGTAACTGGAGGGGCACCTTCGTATTTATTTCACGTAACTTTACACCGTCACACTCGCAAACACAACCCTGACCGCCTAGCATCGACGGCACTGACTGACTGGATAGCTGGCTGACTATCTAGCAGTGGCGACTCCCACGGACAACCCCGAGCTCCCTCTCTCGCCCCCTTTTATCTGCCAGCGGGGCCCGGCCACGCCCTGGCAACGCCCCCTTCTGGAACCATCGAGCTGGTTCGGGGAGTCACGAGCTGGATCCCTTCCACGGCCCTTGGCCCAGACATTCCCTTTTGGGTGGCTATGCCCGTAGTTGCTACCCCTGGCCGCCAGTCGGCGCTGCTACACTACACATACATAGAGTGTCAGCTGTCAATGTATCTGCAAGAGTGTAAGATGTAAGTTGTTTATTTCAATGGATGGATGTGATGCCATTCAAATCTAGTGCCGTATGTCGTGATATTTAAATGAAGTAACAGTTGTATTACTTCATATTTTGTGACTTAAGTGTCATATAATAGTAATAATGATACATTATATAGCGCATGAACAACACCAGTTGGATTATTGAATGCATTTCAAATACAATTGTGCCTGGCTTTTATAGAATCTGAAAATTAACATAGTCACCATTTACAAAAATGGAAGAGCTACCTTGAAATTCCATGAAGAAAATGTGCAAAATATAAACAGCACTATTATTTCTACTACTGCACCTAGACTATTGTAACTTTGACTTTTAGTCTCATGGAAAGGTAATGAATGTCAAGACTAAAGCCAGAAGTTCAGCAGTAAACAAGTAGGTTTACCACAGCCTCGAAGGCCACAGTGATTATACATTTTATTAAATCCTTGAATTCACTTTGTTTAAAAACACAATTACAGTGTGTGCAATAGAATGCTATGAACATATATGGAGAAAATGTACTTCTATCGTTTACAAATAGCATGTTTGCAACAAATAATGATAAAGGCATTATAGCCATAAAAAGGCTCTATTGCTTACCAGCTGTCGCCATTAACGCTGCTAAATTTAAACCTTGGGTCTCCCTGGGGTTCTCATCAACGAGCTTTGCATTAATCACCGGAGAACAAAACTACATCTTTTTAGGCTCGTTTTCAAGAGTGTATTTTACATCAACGTGCATTGTTTTACAGTTTCACTTTGCCAGCTTAAATTTCTAGGGTACGTTTCATAGCAATTTAGCACGTACATTTTCATATCCATTCAAAATACAAGTTTTGTCCTCTGGGTTATCTTGAACGCCTGAAGATGCCCTCAGCACTTTGTGGCGGTTGCGCGATAATGTACCGCAAGGCCGTAATTATAATATATTGGGGGGACACACATCCCCCCCCAATATTCATATATGCTCAAAATGTCCCCTACAATATATAGCTATAAATAGATTTATGTTTATATGATTATGGTTATGCTTGTACTTTATTCATCCCTAATCTCTGCCATTACATACAATGAAATAAGAATAGGTAAAAAAGAAAAAAAACAGCAATGTAATAAAATACACGATTAGACATTATTGTAAAAAATAAAATTAAAAGTCCATCCTATGTGTTAGTGATTTTTTTAAATATTTCAGGCAGGAAATGGCAGGAAATTCGTTTTCGAATTTGGATTTTTTTCTGGGGGGGGGGGACCCCCACACCCCCTGGAAGATTTGGTCCCCCCAATGTTGACTCCATAGCTACGGCCTTGATGTACCGTATGTACGTTAAACTTCTTTCGCACCGTACGTAGCCAACCATGATAATTGGAGGTCCAAAAAAGATATGCTCAACACGTGGCCGCACGCAACAGGACCACACTTTGACATATCATAGAAATCAAATGTGATTAAATGTCAATGGGATATCTACTGAGCATATAACAATTCGTTAAATGGTCCAATTATTAAGGCTTTGGCTGTGGAGATAGAATAAGCGCTCATTCATTGCCTATGTATTCCTGGACGATTGCTTATTCATCTCTTCTGCATAATAACTATTTGTAGCAGTCCAGTACGCATACAGTAAAACAATGATGTACTCTCACGTCGAGAAAACAGAGACGGGGAGAGGAGTGAACGTTGGTATTCATCTCTTGGCACCCTGCATAGCTTCACAGAGTGAGTGTGAGACGGTAGCGCCTTCTCGCTGTGGTCCCACCTGTAACGCGTTTTCTTGTCACCTTAAACACAACTAATACCGTCTACTGGGCGAAATGGACGTCATTCATTAGAATCCAGAATGTGACCAGCAGAAGTAGATGCCGAAAAAAGGCGTCTTTATTCTGCGCTTCTTCCACGGAGTGGCACGATACCATCCCGAGCCCCTCTCGTGGCTAGCAGACGTCGAAGTTGGCATTTCGCTCCGAACATATTGCCGTCAAAGATGAGAATAAAATCGCATCACAATTGAAAGTGAAAGTAACAAACGGAAGGGGGGTTGATGAGGAATTAAGACTTGGAAGGCTGATCCAGTGGTGGCCGGGTGGGTCATTAAATTGATGGGAGGGGGACCGGGGAGCGAGGGAAGGAGGGGGGTTGGTCGTATGCAGGTCACAATCTTCACAGTAAGCAGGCGGGTGCTGTTGAGATCCTATTCCTTCCTTTTTTCACTGGACCCAATGACGAGCTTCCACTGGGCTGTTGTGAGAGCGCAGTACAGTGATGCGGGACTCCGAGATGTGAGTGAGATTCTCACAACTCGTTTAAGCCAGTTGGCCACAGAGACATTTTTCTATTTCTCCGGATAACTTTCTGGCAGGCATTTAAAGTTCCTTATTGAAGGATAATGTGTGCCAATTGCATTCCTGGACTTACATGATTGGCCCTGAAGACGTATTACAGAAGTGAATATCAATAACCAAAAAAAGTTTTATTAAATCTTGGCGAGCGCAGGTTCAGGCTATAGATATTCTCCGAGTAAAATCCAGACCAATTAGTGTCAAACGTGGCCAATAAATGTAATTCTCAACTTTTACAAATTCCTCCTTACCCACACCATTCTCCCCAAAGACGCATACAATGGTTCGATAGAGCCCTTTAGAAGGTATCACATAACTTGCTTCACACGATTGAAATTTTCAGTTTAGAAAATGTCACCAAACACCGTGGAACACAGTGCCTTTGACCAATTAAGCAAACATTCTACAAGGTTGGGCTGATTATTTAAGAAATCAATTAATCTACCAATTATAATTTATCTCATCTAGGATTTTATAGAGCTTTTATGAAAGCGCTTTACAAAAATGATAAATTGTACATTCGTATTGGCTGATGGGGAAAAGGGATGGGGTTTGAGTGTTGGGGAGAAGGGATGGCAAGGAAGGGTGACGATAGAGAAATGGAGAGGCGAAGTTAGGAAGGGGGAGGATGATTAAGGTTTTAAGGACGACTAATCTCAAGACACTAAAATCGGTGGAAAAGTCTCACCTCAGTTCCCACAAATGCCTCTGGATGGGAGGTTATGGCCGTGGCTTGGTGATGCCATCGGCATGATCAGACCCGTCGTGGTGGGAATTGCAGGGGGTTTCCCGCCTTCATAAAGCAGGATGTTGGCCCAAATAATCAACTACCAAAAAAGTAGTTACTTAATCGACTTAATAAATTAATCATCCCAATTTTGCTTTGTTGCATCAAGATGTGCATCATATCCAAGTACAGTTTGTGTCTGGTTGGCTTGTGTCGCCCAGCTCTACTTGTTTTCGTGACACTTCGGCTGCACAAAAATTATAATGCGGCTGGATGTAACGAGGTTTTCATTAAAGCTGCTTACAGGTTGATGAAGAAGACAGCCCTGTTTTAGATGGCTGGTGGCTCAGGAGATTAACGCTGATGACCTTGAAAGATAAATTAATCTCCAGCACGGAGGCCATGGGTTAGACTCTTGGACTCACACCCAAGATTGGAACACATTCAAACGAGTGGAAACCTTTATACTTTCCAATCTAGGTACCAGGAAATACATAATACACACCACAAGGTGCAGTATTTTCTATCACGTGATTTAATTTGAGCATTTCCGCTCTAAAAGCTTCATTCTTGGCAGGCGTAGAAAGCACTCTCATACATGTGTCGTGACTGACTTGGAGACGTAAGTTCTTGGAGGCAGTTCTTTAATTAAACACCGAGCACACTTTGTACAATACACACCCTACACTGCTACACACTCCTCTGTCACTCGCTTATACGCAACTCTACACTGGTTGCTAGCCTACACACAACTCTAGCCGTCTGACACTGACAGCGCTGAACCGAGACAGCCAACTACCGTCTAGCAGCGCAATATATCAAGTGACGACGACAGTGACGAAGGCGGCGAGACGACAGCGATGATGGCGACGATCTTCAGCAGCAACGATGACGGGGATCCCACTCCAAACGACAGCCCCGAGGTCCCCTCCCGGGGCCCCTCTTATACTGGGGGGCGTGGCCTGGCTCCGCCCCCGGTCACGCCCCCTTTCTGGAACCGACCCACGGGCTCTCGATGTGTCCCTTGCGTAACCTTTCCCCTACATCCCTCTCTGGTCTATCACGTGGCCTGCTGTCAGTCAGGGCTGCTGCAAGCTGCAGATTCCCTTCCCTGCCAGCTGCTAAGTGACCAATTGTATGTCACTACACATGTATAGTTTACAATGCAGCCTCGTTGCTAGGTAAGATAGTTCCTTGAAATACATCTGCCAAACCCCTATGAAATCACTTCGAGGGCCTTGTGATTTATGATTTGAACATTGTAGCAAGATCCAGAATTCATGATGCTTCACTATAAACACAGATCGTACCAAATTACGAAAATGCTTGTCATTTAAATGCTTTTGTAACAAAAGTCAAACCCAAATGTATCATGTTCAAATGAGCACGAAGCCAGCACTCACCTATGTGGCTCTAAACCAAGTTTTTATTTTACCATATAACTCTTTTTCAGAAGCAACATGGCCACAAATGCTAGCTCAACGAGGTGGCTTAGCACGTGGAATTGTTTTTCAGCCACTAAACACGTTTCTAAATGTGAAGGGAAAAAACTGTAGGACCCCAAGAAAAAATCACGCGACCACAGGGAGAACATGCAAGCTCCAAATATACAGGCTTTAGGGTCAGGATTGAACCCAAAACCTCCAGCATAGCAAGCAAGGGAATTAACTTATTGCCACGATGGCACCCCATAAATTCAACATTCCTATGTTGGAGGCCAGTCGCTCCATAGAAAGCTCATACATGCAAATTAATGTAAATAGTAAAGATACAGCCCTGTAATTGCTTGCTTGCTTATCCTGCTATCAGAATGGCCTCCACAAGCATAAGTTATAGACCCCCTCTGGAGGGTATTTGGACTACTCTTCCACACTAGCTGGACGTGTTGGGCTCAACGCTTTACTCCACCACAGATGGCCTTCCGATTGACGGTGGTATAACCATTTACACAGCTATAATGTAATGTACTGATGAGAAATTATATTGAGTGAATGTCTAAACATTGAAAATAAATCTTGAAGCCAGCATCCAGGCCACAGCCCAATCAGCCTGAAATGCTGGCACACAAGGTATGGACCCCAACAGAGTAGCTCGCTCCACAATCAATGCCGCTTGATATAATTACGCATTTTCAACACTTGTTAAATCAAATATATACATTTGAGATTAACATTGAAATATTTTCTAATTGAATCGTACATTCAAAACAATCCAAATGTGTTAACACATACATATGCCGACATTACAGTTAAGTCCACAGCTTTCAAATGAGTATATTAATATTTACTCGTCACGAAATTACACGAACAACGCCTATTGAAATCATTCAAAATTTTCCACACGTGATAAAAAGCTAATAAAAAAATTTCTGACTTACATGTGTAAATTACAAATGACCATGTTTGAATGCAGTAATTTGCTGCCATAAATATTTAGAAATTATGCAAGTTTACAAAAATCACTCGATGACAAAATAAAAACATTTTATCATTCGAGCCATTTGTTTCAACAAAGCAACCCTGATCTTGTTTCAACTTCACCAAGATTCATAAGCGAGGAGAGGCCTCGTACACGTTCCACTGGGAATCTTACAGGCAACACGAGCCAGAAAGAACAATGTGCCTTCCGAATGATAGTCAGGAGAATAAAAGCAAGTAACAAAACTCATGTTACATTGAGCTATGTGACCTTCGGCATGGTTTGGAACACATCAAATGCTTTAGATGTTTGTTCTTGTGGTTTCTGTAGCAAGGATTACTTTCTGGATCACACGTTGCTCATGGATGGCTCCAGGCATCTTGATGCAAGATGCTATTATTTTACCAGGGAACCGAGAAATATTGCTTTAAAATGTGATCCACACAATTAGTAGCTCCCTTCAGTAGAGTCTCTGGTTTTCCAATTATAGTTAACACATGCAGGCGGATCAATTGATTGTTATCGGAAGAAAATATATAATGTACCAGCATTGGGCTGTCAACGGACTGGTTATTTTGTAAACATACTTGGATTTCATGCACACATCTTGTGGAAGAAACACTGATAACTTCACTCCAATTACCTTCCAATTTCTCACTTGAAGTCACCAGAAACTGGATAGGCCAAAATTAGCTTCGACAGGGAGGTCACAAATCATGTGGAAACCCAACATCCAGTGATAATCTGGAATCAATAAGACGAGTTAAGTGGAGGTGTTAGTAGTGCTTCAAGTTTATTCTACATCCCAATGAACAATATAATTAACAAGACAGCAGCAGATTAAAATATTACTGTTTTATTTGATATTGTCTCCCACTTATAAAATAGGTTTCAAGATATAACACCGCAATGTACAAAGCAGCTTGCTAGATTCTGGATGTCAGTGTGAAAGGACAATGTCAAACTAAAACACTGCCATATGCACACGTTTACATGAACGTATGTGCGATTGAATACATTGTCATATTTTTGATAAATATTTGCCAACTGCATATATCCTGGTAACACTATTGGAGTTATGAGTTAAATAAATATGCTTACATCCTTTGGCAGATTAAATTATCAGTGAAGTGTCACAAGATGAACCATACAACTATATCCAGAGTTTGCGTGTGTTGAACCACTGCTGCTGAAGTGATGCACTCCCAGAAGGTGCGTGTGGCTTCCTGGATGTGAACAATATATAGTTAAACTTTGTATGTGTGAAAAAGGCATATTGTCTGACCATATATTGCGTCTCAATCTGCACATTGATGCCTATTTTTATTGAAACTACTGCCAGTCACCTTCCATATTCCTTGCTTACACAACACTGGACGTTGCTCGCGGAGCTCAGAGTGCTGTATCCGAAAACGTTTGCAGTCAGGAAACAGAGGTATGGCACTTCAAAGGAAAATGGAGAATAATTTCTCAAGTGAGGTCATATCCCAAAGTGAAACGGTGGGCGAAGGCGACTGCAGGCTGGATTAACCCCAAGGGATGATGGGGTCAGGTTTAGTTTGGGGTCTAATTGCCTATAGGGATGCACCTCCGAAGCGTCCCTCCATAATGCCGAATGACCTTTTCACATTTAATCTCAATTTTGCTTTTGGGTATTAAAAAAATGTGGCTTCTGGATAGAATATAGTATTGCAAGCAAAACTGGTTTTCTGTTGCGCAGGTTTTTGTGGTTGTGCCATATAGCTATCCCAAAGTGTGTTCAGGGTTTTACCATGACAGACATTGTCCAACGCGCTCCATGTGGTGGAGGCTTTTTTACACGTAAGACATCATGCCAAGCAACACAACTTGAAGACAAATCGGAGAGGTTTCCAGTTTATTTATTTGCATTGAGCGGTCTCAGTGCACTGCACATCGCTATACAGCCAAATCCTGAGGGTACTTGCTTTCTAAATGTGGGTGCATGGACACGAGAGAGTCTTTTGGCATTTATTGTCTGTCTAAATAGGTCTTGTGATTTTTAGGATGCCTTACCAAGCTGCAATAACAGCAAAGTATGTACACATGTCATAAAGCAAACTTTCCCCAATTTCCAACCCCTCCTCTTGTCTGCATGAATCTAATGTATGTTTACATTAAAGAAACAACTGACATTGCATTGACTACAAAGTGGACACGATAACAATGTACTTTTGAAAATCAAGAGATGCATTGCCACGTTTAGACGTGTCCCGTTTTCCAGGGTGATGATCGATCGTTGTCCTTTTTTCAAATGGGTTCTTCATCCTCCAAGCTCAGCACAAAATCAAACTCTTCTGCAAAACAAACGTTCATAGCTATCTAACTTTAGCGATTGGACTATAAAAGATAATTAAATAGCTCCAAATACAAGTTAACTGCCCATGCCATTTTTGCCTTTATTATGTTGTTCGTACAAGTTGGGGCATATACTCGGTATTCACATATGTGTACACACAACGTTAAAGATTTACCCATTTAACGTGAGAGCATTGTTAAAAAAGACTAGACCTCACCATCATTTTCAATATTTTAAAGGATAAAAAGTGTCTACTTAAAATACCCTTCACATGTACCAGAGAACAGAAATGATTTAAATTGCCAAACCTGTCAAAACTGCCTTAGTGGCAAGTGTGCCGACCATACCATCCGCTGTCCAGTGCACACATTATTCTTAACACTCTCAAGCTGATGACAGTCGTGTCTGTCGAGGGTGGAGCATTGACATTGGATCGTTGTAAGTGCCAGACCTACAAGGCTATCTTTAAAAAAAACCTTGCATGCGATGTGCCTGCAGCTATTGTCAGCATAAAAAAAAATGTTCCATGTAGTTACACGTTGTATGTTGATTCCTACTTTCTGTTAATTAGCAAGGCAAGCTTGGCTGCTAGTCATACTGAAAAGGAAATCGCTTCAGCCAACAGAAGCTGTAATTCATTTCAAGCATGCTACATCATAGGTGAATTAATAAATCATCACATTCTGTGAACAGATTTTTAGACTGGGTTATGAAACGTACACACGCACTCAAACATTCCATCCTTAAGGAATGAGTTCTTAAATATCCCTCACACAAAGAAGTTCAGGTTGCTTAAGAAAACAATGGCCATGTCAGAGCACGGACCTGGCAATGCTAAGAGTCCTCAGATGGAATCCCAGGTCGTCATCAATAAACAATACCAAATCAATTGTAGAGAGATGAGTGAGTTGGTGGTCTCAGCCTAAACATCAATTACTATGCGTAAATATATGTGTATACTTTCCAACCATGGTTTAAAGCGTAAATGCATTCCCTCTGACCATCTGTCTGTGGCATGCCATAATAAAAAAATATATATATAAACATCAACATGAACCCTTACCCAAACCAGGTGCAAATCCGAGTCTACATCAGCATACTTACATAACTGATGTGATCTTCATGATAATGAATATGCGACCACACAGGACATCCATCGAGGATTGATGAGTACCACTTTGTAAGAGCGTACTATGTAAGAGCTACGCAAGCGCTGTACGTGACAGCATCTAATGTTTGCAACAATAACAGCAGTGTCACGAGCGATGAAAGAGCGCCCCCACATGCATTTCCTCGTAATAGCACTATAATGAAGTTCTTCAGCATCCAGCACCCGCCACTGATCCACCACTTTCCAAAGAACGAACAGTTTGATTAAAAATGCTGTATGTCACTGTACTTTTAGGTGCAAAATTAACCAGATAATTTATTCGACAAATGTAAACTACAGAGGCGGAAACAATTAAATCCGCCACCTATGTAGATGATGAGAATCACTCTGGAGGTGTGTGCAAGTGTCGATGGTCTGTGACGTCCCGAACAAAAACAATTTCAATATGCGACGCAGAATAGAGCTGGCTTCAGACTGCATAGAAGGCAATGGGCCTTGCTTAATTGTGTTCGAAGAATACATGGCAAGGACGGCTGTCCTTCTCAAATAGTTTAATATGAAGGTTGTCTAGATTTTGGTGTTTTCGTGACTGCAGGAGATACTCTTTGGTTTTTTCGGTAAAGTCACCCCTTGTGTATCTGTTAATTCCCTCTATTTGGGTGTCTGTATATATATCTGCGGTTATGTGTTTCCTCTCTCTCTTAAATTTAGCTCTTCTGTGCCTGATGAAGATTGCTTGTGTTGCAATCGAAACGTCGTATAGTATTAGTATAGTATTATGTTAATTTATTATGTCTTCTATCTACGTGACTTCACCGGAAAAAAAAACAAAGAGTATGAAGGTTGTCCTATTGCGAATGTGATGAAGTGCAATCTGTCCATCGCGTATCCAACCACTGCCCATTATACACTTACACAGGAGATAGGAATGCTGTACATGAAGCTGCACCTGATGCCATTCAATGGATAATCAAACTCAAAATACAGTTATATGTTTTGTCAGTTACATTTCAAAAGCCGTACGAAAAAACGTATCTGGCAGTTTAAGCATTAAGGTCGGGGTTAGAGGACGGCTCACCCTTTGTGAGCGGCTGCACCGAGAGGCGAGCGCTTGTGAACAGGGCGATGGAGCGGAGCGGACCGCCCTCCGACGCGTGCTTCAGGTGCCACTCTTTCAGCTCGGCCAGCGGCAGGAAGCGCTTGGTCCTCCTCTCAAATTGCACGTCCACCTGCGGGCAGCCCACGTGCACCCTCGTTCCGAACTCTCAGCTCAAGCTAAACTATAAACTAAACTTATTTTTATTTTCTCAGTAAGGCTGACTGAGCTATGTAGCTCTAATTCAAAAGTGACCTGGCCACAAATGATAGCTCAACGAAGTGGCTTATCACGTGGAAATGTATAGCAGCCAAATACTCTAAATGCATGTTTCTAAACGTGGAGGTTTAAAACCGGATGATTCGGAGAAAAATCCACACGACCATGAGGAAAACATGCAAACTCCAAATATACAAGCGTGAGGGTCAAGATCGAGCCCACCACAGTGGAGAGATGTTAACTACCTCGCATACCAGGCGAAGTAGTTAACATCTCGCCACAGGGCACCCAAGATATCCAACCTGTGACTTCCAACCTTAAAAGAAAATTCACAAAATGCTTCCTCCTTCACTATACCTGTCCCTCCACATAAAATAGTCCAAGTTGGCCAAATTTAAAAAGTACCTGCAAATTACTCAATTGGAATTATACATATCAACAATCACCACCTACTGTGAAACTACTGCAAACTGTCTGTGAAACATAGCGCCTTCGTGAAGACCTTGCGTTATAATGGCGCCAATTACAAACGTACTAAAATATTCTTATTAAAAGTGATTACACATACCATCAGCCACACGGCCTTCCGAGAGTACATTATTTCACCAGCATTGGTTCTACACAAGAAAACTCTAGACTGGCTTCCACATAGAGTGTCTCACCAGCAGTCAGTGACTCCCTCCTTTATCAATCGTGGAGTGGTACTTTTGTATACTGTTATACTGATAACACCTCGTTAAATATACATGAAATAAATGGAATTTTATTCACGAATGCAGATATGGTGGCATAAGCGTTCAATCCATTTACTCAAGAGGAAGGGTTGGATTGTGCATAATAGGTGAACATTTACAACATTTAATCTATTTACTGAGTGTCTGGACTCATTTTTAATGAGGATCCTGTTTTCAGATGAACACCAAATGACTGAATTAATGTATGCATGTACATGCAAAACAAAGTGGAGATAATAAAACGAGCATTTCTCCCACAATTAACTTTGAAACGCATCACTGCAACAAAGCAGTGTAGCAACATTAAAACCATGACCTTTTGTGCAACAATTTCACAAATAAATTGAGGGTTCCAAATCGTCGGTTAAATTATACTGTGTACAGCAGACCACTGTGATGCTCAAGTCTGGATATGTGGTGACTTAACCCTTACCATGTCCCACTTGGGGCTGCTCTTCTTGCTGCTGTGGTCGTAATGTGCATCCTTGGGATCAAACTGGGTATGGTCTGTGTAGGCTTCCTTAACTATCTGTCGCAAAAAAATACAACACATGTACCTATGCATCTTAGTTGGATACAAAGAGTGACCACATGTAGACGTATGAAAAAGGCTGAACATAACAGAAGACTTGACGCAAGTGGTAATGAGAATGAAACAGCTTGTTTTGGTAGATATTGTGGGATGGAGAACAGGAAAACAAAAAAAACTGAAATTATGGGAATAATGGAGGGAACTGGAAGAAGACCTTGTCGAGAATGTCTGGATGACATAAGAGATTGGTGCCAGAGAGATGTGCACCGCTTCAGCAAGTTGGCATAGGATAGAGGCAAGTGGAAACAAGTGACAATAATTGTAGTGGACAACACCTGTAGGCTTTCTGCCCATGGAGTTTGATCACCTTCATGTACTGAACGAGATCAAATTCAGACTAAAGATCTGGAGAATTGTTTAGTCTCGATTTAATGTGACCGCGGTAAATCTTCCATGTGTTCATAAAGAAATAGGAGCGCGATGGAATGTTTAAGTCATCTGTATATTGTCTGTCGACCTTAGACATTAGTGGAAGGCGTCTTACAAAAACTTGTATATTATTATTAGTTTTCTAGGAAGGAATGGAATAAAACTAGGGGAGTGCTTTGTCGAGCAGTGGGAAGTTGTAGGCTGAAAACCACATTAAGTCTGCCTTTCGCCTGGATAAAAAATGGGGTGAAGGTAAAAAGGTATGTATGTTGAACTTCTTTCGCACCGTGCGTAGCCAACCATGCTAATCGGAGGTGAGGGGGAAGAAGAAACTAAACACAAAAAACTGTTCTAAAGAAATGAGATTTCGAAACGGTAGACATTACAAGTATCATTATTGGACTAGCAGAGGAATAACCTCCTCGTGGACAAGTTGAATGGAAAAACAGTAAGGAGAAGATATCAGAGAAAAACATCTTTAGGTGCTGTTTGTGTAAAATTTAAATTAGCATACCTTGACCAATCCAGCAATGCCTGGTACTTTGCAGTTGCTATGGTAAAAAAAAGCCATTTGCCCAGTCTTCATTGCCCGCATAAAATTACGTGCCTAAAAGAAACACAGTATGAATTGTGGAATGACTACTGCACAACTCGGCCCCGTAAAATCCCCATAATTCAGATGATGCTCCATCAATTCTCAGGTCCTGCACTCATGCCCAACCTGGAGGAAATTATTATAACAATCACCAGCATCCATCTCACCTTTGATCACGGCCTTGTGTACATTCCCTCTCCTGGGTACCTTCCCCTTGTGCCCTATCTAAGCCCGCACAAATGCACCAATTTTGCACATACATTCACAATGCAAAGTGTGAGTTCCCCGGTTGGAACGTCACTTATTGGAACTGCCCACAGCAAGCAATGCACTCCAACGTTGCAATTATAGCACCAGGACATTTGGTAACATTTTCACCCTGGCTTTATCTTCCAGAAGATAATAGATCCCAGAGCTGCTCAACGCCAGGGTGTGACTTGATTTTTACTGAACGTAAATCCCCTCTGTGATGGCCGCTCAATAGCAGCACCTGCAGCAACCCAAGTCCATTCGCAATTCTGGGAGGGATTACAGTGTAATGGGAGGAGAATAGAAAGAGTTAGCTGGTCTGGTGGCAGGTGCTTTTTGAAGCTCCACAAATTGAGAGCCCAGTGATGGATCCCTTTGCTGTGTTTGTTTAAACACAGGCCACCTTGAAAGAAGACTCAGAGTGCAGGAGAAGTCAAAGGTATTGTCTTTTAGCCCATGTCCTTTGATTTGGTCAAACTAAATACAAGCTGAGCAATCCAGGCCAATGGATTACCTTCTCACCATGGAAAGGAAATTGTAGGTGTTGTTGTCTTGCCTCTGTTTATATCAGATATTTGTCCTGATATTGCATCAGTTAATGTTACCAAACAAATTAGTCAATTAGAATAATTAATACATATCATTCACTTTAACAGTAGATTAAAATTATGATGTCCTCTTACGTAAATAGAGTTTTGCATATCTGATTATATACACAAATATAATTTGAATAACATCTACTAGCACGGATGCACACAAAAGAGCAATGCTCCTTGTACCCTAAATAAACTAATGAGGGAACATTGTATAGCAAGCAACTATGGACAATTGTGTCGCTGGTACCGCATCTTGCTACAGTGAGGGAAAAAAGTATTTGATCCCCTGCTGATTTTGTACGTTTGCCCACTGACAAAGAAATGATCAGTCTATAATTTTAATGGTAGGTTTATTTGAACAGTGAGAGACAGAATAACAACAACAAAAATCCAGAAAAACGCATGTAAAAAATGTTATAAATTGATTTGCATTTTAATGAGGGAAGTAAGTATTTGACCCCTCTGCAAAACATGACTTAGTACTTGGTGGCAAAACCCTTGTTGGCAATCACAGAGGTCAGACGTTTCTTGTAGTTGGCCACCAGGTTTGCACACATCTCAGGAGGGATTTTGTCCCACTCCTCTTTGCAGATCTTCTCCAAGTCATGAAGGTTTCGAGGCTGACGTTTGGCAACTCGAACCTTCAGCTCCCTCCACAGATTTTCTATGGGATTAAGGTCTGGAGACTGGCTAGGCCACTCCAGGACCTTAGTGTGCTTCTTCTTGAGCCACTCCTTTGTTGCCTTGGCCATATGTTTTGGGTCATTGTCATGCTGGAATACCCATCCACGACCCATTTTCAATGCCCTGGCTGAGGGAAGGAGGTTCTCACCCAAGATTTGACGGTACATGGCCCCGGCCATCATCCCTTTGATGCGGTGAAGTTGTCCTGTCCCCTGAGCAGAAAAACACCCCCAAAGCATAATGTTTCCACCTCCATGTTTGACGGTGGGGATCGTGTTCTTGGGGTCATAGGCAGCATTCCTCCTCCTCCAAACACGGCAAGTTGAGTTGATGCCAAAGAGCTCCATTTTGGTCTCATCTGACCACAACACTTTCACCCAGTTGTCCTCTGAATCAATCAGATGGTCATTGGCAAACTTCAAACGCGCGTGTATATGTGCTTTCTTGAGCAGGGGGACCTTGCGGGCGCTGCAGGATTTCAGTCCTTCACGGCGTAGTGTGTTACCAATTGTTTTCTTGGTGACTATGGTCCCAGCTGCCTTGAGATCATTGACAAGATCCTCCCGTGTAGTTATGGGCTGATTCCTCACCGTTCTCAAGATCATTGCAACTCCATGAGGTGAGATCTTGCATGGAGCCCCAGGCCGAGGGAGATTGACAGTTCTTTTGTGTTTCTTCCATTTGCGAATAACCGCACCAACTGTTGTCACCTTCTCACCATGCTGCTTGGTAATGGTCTTGTAGCCCATTCCAGCCTTGTGTAGGTCTACAATCTTGTCCCTGACATCCTTGGAGGGCTCTTTGGCCTTGGCCATGGTGGAGAGTTTAGAATCTGACTGATTGATTGCTTCTGTGGACAGGTGTCTTTTATACAGGTAACAAGCTGAGATTAGTTGCACTCCCTTTAAGAGTGTGCTCCTAATCTCAGCTCGTTACCTGTATAAAAGATACCTGAGAGCCAGAAATCTTTCTGATTGAGAGGGGGTCAAATACTTATTTCCCTCATTAATATGCAAATCAATTTATAACATTTTTGACATGCGTTTTTCTGGATTTTTTTGTTGTTATTCTGTCTCTCACTGTTCAAATAAACCTACCATTAAAATTATAGACTGATCATTTCTTTGTCAGTGGGCAAACGTACAAAATCAGCAGGGGATCAAATACTTTTTTCCCTCACTGTAGTTGTATATGCCCATTGAACAAAGTACTCATATTATGCTGGGTTGACTTAGGCCCAAGCCATACTCATATACCTCTTTCTCAAGATATATATGTATAGCCTGGAATAATTCACGTTGCCAAGATCATTGTGCAGGCATTACACCACTACTCTCCGCGTACAAAATACAAAGATCCCCATATAGCCTTTAACAAGCTGTTGGGGCATTAACTGTTCGCATGCACCTATGAAGGCCGGCACGACACATGAGGGGGTGGGTGGCCAGCGCCACACCCAGCAGCATGTCTCCCAAGTGGCAATGTTTGCATAATGCACTAGATACTCATTTGAGGCTGAGTCGACCCAGGGGAGGCCCAGGACTGGTTCAGATAATCATCACTGGTGTTAACCGTAGAGCTGGAATCGAACCCAGGTCGCCAGGTTCGTAGCACAACATACTAACCTCAAACATACATAGTCATCCCCCTTACCAAGTATGTGCTCTTGTAAAAAAGCAAACATTGTTCAACAAAAATGCATTTGTAAGATAATTCAAAAGTGGAAATTCGTTTATTTTCTCCAAATTGCAGGAAGCTCACATTCCACAATTTTGCGCATTTGCATGTGAAAGACATTACAGGTTTGTTTTCAAATGCACATTGTCAACTGAGCCACCAGTAACAACTAAGGCAGGCACCGTGTCGGCATAAGACATTGGTGGGAGCCAATGATGTACCTGGTAGTTTCGCACTCCATCCCAACATGACATCCGGTTTGGCAGGGCTGCCAGATCTTCAATGCCAAACTACAAAGGAACAGAGAAAAAATAGAACGTTCCAAGTTTAGAATTATTTCTCATTTTCAAAACACACACATGGACAGGCACGCAGGCAGGCAGTGTCAAAATGAACTTTCACTGCTTTTTGAAACAGCAAGCCCATATGCTGTGGCGGCGATGTACATTTTAATTCATTTGGACACGAAAAAGTAGTAATGAGGCCTTCAGCTTAAAGGACATTTCAAAACAATCAGTCGCTCCTGCTGCGTTTCATTTCACACCATGTTATACCAAACAAAGCCATTACATCCACATAAATTGTATTTGCTGCTGTTTTTACTGGCTCACAGAACACTGCCATTTCACTTGCAAAAGATACTTAAACTATGCCACTCTTAGCATATACTTGCGTGTTCTTCTTCTTTGGTTCTTTCGGTAAAGTCACGTAGAATGAGAATAAAATAATAATTGATAAAATAAAATAACACAATAATATTCTCACGACGTTTCGGCCACAACACAAGCAGCCTTCATCAGGTGAAGGGGACGAGACTGTCTGGAGGACAGCGCTGGAGTGAGAAAGCCACGTTAAGGTGGTGTGGAATCCCTCTCCGTAGAGGCGGTTAAATTTCGATTTAAAGCTTTTGAAGGCCGCTTGTGTTGTGGCCGAAACGTCGTGAGAATATTATTGTGTTATTTTATTTTATCAATTATTATTTTATTCTCATTCTACGTGACTTTACCGAAAGAACCAAAGAAGATGAATCCTTGCAGTCACGAAAGCTTTAAATCGAAAAATTGCGTGTTCTTCTGTAGGGATAACACTTCCCATGTTTAGCTTTATTGAGATGATGGTTGTCAAGCGAGTATGAACGGTGCTTGTGGTGGTGGTGATAATGGTGATGGTGGTAGCGATGATTCTGGTGACGTATGATAGTGGTCATGATGATGATTATAATGGCGATGGAGATAATGAACTTGATATTGTTGTTACGCGTAGAAGCGAAATGTATAAATCTCATCTCTATTGTGCGACTCCAAGGTGCAAATGTGTTCTTGTCGCGCAGCAAGAAAACTCACTTTCTGGCCTCACTACGCAACAATGTATTCCAAAGGACCCGTTTCACCAAGGCTCTGGCCGACAGTGCCGATGACCGCCAGCAACATTTACCTTCATGTCGACTCCATTCTCGAAGCGGCTCTCTGGCTCGGACTTCATCAGCCAGAATGTGTACGGCTCCCGGGGTCCCTTGGTTGACCCTGATGACTTCTTGGCAGCAGCAGCAGACTTCTTGGTCGCAGCAGCAGCAACCGCATCAGCCTTGTGCGAGCGGTCAGTCCGCTGCCCTCCATGGTCAGGGCTTCTCCTCCGCTCCTCCTCAGACACACGGGCAGACTTCCTCTTCGGTTCAGCCTCTGCTGCACAGTAGCCAGATGCACAAGTGCTGCACTAACGCAACTCCTCTGCAGACTGCCGCCTTGCTCTAAGAGCTTCTTCCTACCCCGCAGATAAAGAAAGGACCGAACGCAGTTAATCGACGATGCCATTATTGACGGAAGCTCACGTCCACCGTGCAACGCACAGTAAAGGGTACAGGCGCAGCCCTGCAATGCCCTGTATATGTACGACCCACCAATACTGGATATCGGTGAACAAGAGCTTCATAGCTCATCGGATTCACCCAACCTAAATAAAGATTACATATGGATGTTGAATTTCTTTCGTACCGTACGAAGCCAACCATGCTAATAGGACAACTAAACACTGTTGGTGCAAGGGCCTCTCGAGGGAGCTCTTGAGGGTATTTGGCCTACTCTTCCACGCTGGTCGGACGTCTTGGAAGAGGTGGCATTACCCACACTTTACCTCACCACACGTGGCCTGCCGATGTATCGTTCGGTAACGTCGGGTGAACAGCGGTGTCGGGCGGTGATGGATGGGGGTGCTGGATCAAGACTCGCACCGTTGTTTCAAATGCCGTGCCGGGAGATCGAATAGACCATTTGTCTTGCAAACCCAGAGTGCTAAACACCATTACACCAGGGCGGCGTGCTCACACACATACACGTGTCGACTTTAAAGCTTTCGTGACTGCAGGAATTCTCGTATACTTGGGTCTTTCGGTAAAGTCGCGTGGATAGGTTTCAAATAAAATAACATTCGTCACGGGAGCTTGAAGTGTAAAAAAAATAACATGATACATTTTTGTTTTTTTAATTTTCTTTGAACCTTTCTACGTGACTTTACCGAAAGAGCCAAGGATATGCTCACGTACACATTTCAGAAAGCGAGCGCGACATACACGAACGCTGTGTACAGGGTGGTCCAGATGTCTTGTGACACCCCCCCCCAATTAATCGACCCCCGAACACGTTTTCATTTGCATGTTCATGTTTTAAACAAGCCTCACTAAAATATAGTTTTAGATATTTTTAGGCAACTTAGATAGAATAATAGGGTTTTCCCCCTTTTTTAGATAACTAAATGTGTGTGGGGTCACAGGACATCTGGACCACCCCCCCCCCCGAGAGTGAAGTGAAACCTACGTCACCGAACCCGGCGCACCTGCAGGCGAAGCGCGCTTCCTGCGGGGAGCCATGCCGGTTACTGCAGACGACCACAAGCCGGCCGCGTTACCGACTACGCCTGTTATATAACCTTTCTGTTAATGTATAATTATTTTACTAATTATTAACGTCGCTATTCTGTTTATGCTGTGGTGCTGCATTCGCGCGCTTTCCCGCCATTATTCGCAATGGCCACACCCGCTACGGCGGCCGCGATGCCGTTGATTTACGATTAATAAACGCGTTTCTTTTATTTAATCTCCACTTCACATGACATACGGTTAAGTATGTACGGCATTGCCTGAGCTAACGAACCCCACACAGTGCAGCGAAGATTGTCACTGGCTAAGTTTTTGCAGTTTATTATGACAGTGTCTTACGAAAAGTAACAATATTACCTCAGAAAATGTTTTTGTTACGTCGAGTCTTGCGTTAAAAAAAATCCCATCCTATTATGTTTTAATGAAAATGCAGCTAATGAACAAACTAGCACTGACCAGTGTTGGTGAAGCATGGTCAAATAAGCACCATGATCAACAGCACGGTTGTGGCAGGCCTTCATCCTGCAGTGGAATACCCAAAGGGCTGTAAATGAGTGTATCTACGATGTTCACCTCCCTGACACTGGAGGCCAAAGTGGCATTGTTGAGAAATTATATCATATTTAACTGCATCTCAATGAGCCTGCAACATTCTGAATGAACTCGTGAATTTGTGCAGCGGGCACATTTTTTCCACCAGGTGGCGGCATCCTCCCGCGTAATTCGTGGAATTCCCGTTACCAGACATTCATTTCTATGCATTACAATTATTAAACCAACCTTTCACAAGCGTTTCTTCTTTATGTCATCACCAATTGCAGAGTACGTTAATTACCCAGCAAATTATTCGAGGGTTATCAAAACGAATTCCCGAGGTGAATAAGACTCTGTCTGGGACTCGACCACAATCCATAGCCTCGTGACAAGTGTCAGGGAATGGCCCTAAAAGATTACGCCACAAAACTACGATAATACCCATGGAGCCACTTGCATGTGACTTCTGCACGCCCTGCTAACAACGTCTCTCTACACCGTGCGTTACTCACCCAACAAAACAAAGTATGAACTTTACATGCCAGATTAGAATTAGGCCAAATTACAGCAAGTGAGACCCGAATATAAGTGATGCGTGTTTGTAGTCTGGTGAAATGGTCCGAGATCACCAACTCGCTCCACCTGAGGACCCGGTTTAGCCATGGATAAGTGCCCAGATTTCATCCCAGGAGGTCAGTGGTGCTGGCCCATTGCTCTGGAACAGGCAGCAGCCACCTCCATCTCGGGGTTGTGTAAGATAGATGGGTCACCTTCGTGGTTAATATTTGGGATTAATTCTTGAAATACTCAGACAAGTGATAATTGAAAATAGCTTTATTTCTACAAAACATTCACTACAAGCGTGTGTACGTCCAGCTGAACTTGTAGGTGAGGAATAATTAAGCCGGGCGACATTTAAAATACATGTAATTAAACTAACGATTTTCCTTTTTTTTGTCATTCTTCTTTGGGGGATACATTATTTTAACCAGCATCTCAAAAGTTTCAGTAACTGCAAGGCCTACCAACATGCATTTGTCAACACACAATATCTCTGTGTGCCTGCTGAGATACCGTATCTAATCACCACACCAATGACCGTTAATATGCATTAAACACATCTCAATATGAAGCACAGCCAAGTTAAGGGGAAAACAACACGTTGGTTAAATAATAAAAACACGTGACTTCACACTACACTTGCAATCACAACGCACGTGTTGTGTTGCTAGGATTGTGATCGTATAAATAGCAATTATTGAAAACAAGAAACGCGTGCCTTCACGGCCAGTCGAGCTTGCCACAAGCTGCCTCAACCAAATGAAGATACAGATTTTTTTATTTGCTGCTTCGGTGAAGATTTTAAAAAAGCATTACATTTAAAGTAAAAACGTGTGTTTTTTTGTTGTTGTCACTTCAAGGAAAAGGAAGGTGTCACCATTTCGATTTTTGGCATTAAGAAAATTATGTACAGTACCGTGGTTTTGAATTTAGATTGAGTAGGTTCATGAACATACATACACAGTACTGGGATGACGTGTTAATGCTGCTGATACAGCACCAATTAAGAGTAGCGTGTGAGGTGGTGGGCCCAACCAACTTTTGGTAATGACGTCCATCACCAAAGGGTGCGTGGTTTTTGATGTGAGCATGTTTAAATACAATTGAGTCCTGAAAGTGTTAGAATGTTAAGAATTTTTTTAGGATAAGCGTTTGCTTATGTAAGTCGCACTGTTTTAAGCGCACATGTACGACTCGGGATTCAGTGCAAAACCCCCGAAGACTCAAAAAGCCACGTAAAGATCAATTTAAATAATACAGCACTATTATAGATGTCCCAAGCCACTTTAGGGTTTCGCTTACTCGCTAATTTCGGTCAGTTTCAGGCGTAGTTTGACTTTCCTGTCTGGTCACAATTTAGTGTTTTGTTATTTGATCTGTTTGTCTCACGTGAATGGTCAGATTTCTCAACACTACCATCTATATATATACAGAAGCACATCTTCAAATGTATTGTATTTAGCGAAAATAAAAATGCTTAATTTTCATCCGCCACTTTTCAGTTATTGTTTAATATATTTTGTTAAATTTAATGCAATAATTACTCTAGATTTGAAGCTTTCGTGACTGCAGGAATCCATACTCTTTGGTTCTTTCGGTAAAGTCACGTAGGTAGCAAAATAAAATAAAACAAGAAAGAATATATCTCGACGTTTCGATCGTCGTCCTCAGGTGGAAAAAATAATCCAGCAGTGGACGGCTGAAGCTGTTTCTGGATTACTTTCTTCTGCCTGAGGACGACGGCTTGTGTTGCTATCGAAACGTCGTGATGTGTAATTTTTAGTTTAATCTTATTTTTCTACCTACGTGACTTTACCGAAATAACCAAAGAGTACAATTATTACTCTTTTATTAATGACAACAATACAACTCAATCAAAGAGCATCGGTTACAGTGTTTTCCAATTACACATTCACATTTCGTTATCTTTTAGCAAACTTAATTAAATGTATCCTTTTAAACATTAAGACCAATGTTAAACATTGAAATATAAATACAGGAATACATCAATAACATACACAACAGTTGAAGATTGAACCCTCCATACATATTTTCGTTTCTATTCCAGGTTAATTATTTCCAACAAATCACGATCCTGCCAACTTAAAACTACAAAATTAATGATTGGTCATTAATGCTTATTAAACATCTGATGATTTTGAATATATATTCTAAATAATTAAGTATTTCTTATTTTTACAAATGACCAACATCGATCTCTCCATCTTCCTCTCCACGAACACACTGATAATATTTTCACCACCCTCCCAACACATACCCTCGAGTTTTGTACATCTTGAGACGTGGTTGCATATAGATGCTTTACCAATTTTAATTGTATTATTTCAGGTGACAACAATAAAACAACTCAAATGCATATCCACATCGCATGTCAGACTCAATGATTGCATGTCTGTATGTTGGGTACCACCATTAATCGCAACCTCTTGTAAAACGCCCAAAATGTCTGTCGTCAAAGCCAAAACGATTGTTGGTATTTTTGTTTTCCTGCCACGTACAGTACAGTACTTATTCTCACTAGTGCTATATTTAAAAAAAAGATAAAGTGTAACCCCGAATCACATTATTGTTGCCAAGTATAGGCTAGTATTGCAAAGCTTGTCTTAGGAGCTATTAGCCAAATTCGTCCGATAGCCAAATTCATTGTTATTAACGGTATTTCCCATCACTATCCATTGCTACTCTAATCTCCATGGCAATCGATGTTTACAGGCATCGAATCGAATAACACAAACATGCCATAATTATCACATGGTTCTTTACAGATTGAGAAATGTTGTAAAAACATTTACGATTATTTTTCACTTCCAAACTTTGCAGCTGACATTTTGTATTTCCTGAAACTCAAAATGCCAGAAAAGCAAAAGGTTCAGCCCTATAATTGCTTTCTTATGCCACTGTTGACAGAATGGCATCCGCTAGAGGGAGCATTCGAAATCCCCTCTAGAGGGTGTTTGGCCTACTTATCCACCCTTCAAAGTCGTTTAAAAAACTATCCATTTAAAAATGTATTAAGCAATAACCAACTGAAATCATATTGATGTTAGTCTTTAATCCGTCAGGACACTATTTATACGAGTCTTTAGTCAATTAACTGACGTCCATATATTTTATTTGAAACATTATTGTGAACATATATTCAAATATTAATTTGTTCCAAATCATTGTGGCATACATTTATGGAATTACATGAATCCAACAGTATACTAAAACTCTTCATGAAAATTATTACACCTCCAAATGTTTGGCATTTCCAATGTTATCACCACTTACTAATGAACTTAACCAATACTGTAATTGAAGATAAAATGTCAAGCAATATTTGTTGCTGAATATCATATAAAGCGCAATGACTGTGGAATGAGGTACATTTTCCGATTAATTGTTAGTAAAATCGTTTATTAGATATTTTTTTATCAACAATTACTGTTTAAAATAATTAGAAAATCCCCTGACCATATTTTTGTACGCATATCATTTAACATGAAAATAACTACGGAGTATACATATTCATTGTAATACACGTAATCGCATTAATATTAATTATGACTGAAAAAAAAACTCCTGTAAAATCGGTGGGTAATTTGTTTATTTTGTGAATGTTCATGAATTCCACGGGGTGACGCGAGAGCAGCTGGCATTTCCCATCACATAGGGCACAGCTGAAACCTTGCACGAGATTAAAAAAAAAAAAGATACCGAGCGAAGATCTGCAACCCTCGCGAGTTTTATCCCCGCGGGATTTGGTTGCGGGTAGATTCCACCCAGCGCCTCTTTCAAGTTGCATCCTACTCATTGGGAAAAGTCGGGTAACCCAGCCCAATCAGTGATTCAGCCGCAAGCATGTCACAGCTCGTGAGTAGGTGGACATCCTCGCGAGGGTTGTTAAAATATGTTTTTTTATCTTTAACCGGTAAAAAAAAAAAAAAACGATTACCGGTTTACCGCACATATAGAAATATCCAGAAACAAATATTACGATTTCACCTTTATAACCGAGAAACGAAGGGAGTTGCCATGGTGAAATGATGAGCATGCTTGACTTGCAACCCAGAGGTCGCCGGTTCAATTCTATCTCCCAGCATGGCAATTGAATGAATGGCGCACGTGTCATGAATACCCCATCTCCGGTTCACCCAGCAGCACAAATGAGTTCACCGAGGTCGATCAGCAGGTTGCCTGCGGTGGATAAAAGTGTGGATAAGCCCACCTTTTCCAAGATGTCTGATCATCATTAAATCGGAGATCAATACCCTCTTAAGCTTCCTACGAGCAAGGGAGCGATCGCAGGGTTCCACCTTTATCTTTTAATTGAAAAAAAACTAGCGAAAATGTACCCAGTGGTGAATTAGGCTGCAGTGTTGTTTCTACATTCACGCGTGCCAATCGGTGCATTGAATATTCAACTTTCACTGAAACCCACTGCCGGTCCCTGACTTTCGGAACGGTTAATCGATTGTGAAATCGTTTACATTTAAAAACGATGATCTTAACCCTATAATATATCTTAACCCTATAATACAATGCCGTATCCACAGTTTTAATTACTATGTTAAGCTTACAGCACAGTTCACAAAGATAACTTTATATATTCTTTAGGTTTCGTTTTAATTAATAATCAAATATTTATATTCGTGGTTCTTTCGGTAAAGTCACGTAGAAGGGAAATAATAAAATACTAAAAATATATTATTATATTGTTTCCCTTCTACGTGACTTTACCGAAAGAACCAAGAATATGAATCCCTACAGTCACGAAAGCTTTAAATCAAAAATCAAATATTTGTTATCCAGAAATTCCTGAGGTCAATCGTGTAAAGCGAGTATCATTGTGGGGATAGTCAATATGATATTGTCATACAAATGTGGAGTTTACACCAGTGGCCCAGGGCCACCAAAATAGGATTTTCATTACTATTGCCTTACTGAGCATAGCTCTCTGATGTGTTTTCGGGTTGTACCACGTGTTCTTGGGCATCGTGTCCGACGTTACGCTCTACGTGTTGAGAGCTTCTTCTGGAATTGCACTTTCTTCTCGAATTGCATTTATTCAAATCCCTGAAGAAGCTCCCAGGCTGTGGGGCGAAACGTCGGGGCATTGCGCCGAACAACACGTGATACAACCAGAAAGCACAACGGGGAGCCGAAACACACGGACGCGAAACCCCACGCAGCCACTGTGGGGGGGAGGTGCATTGGAATCATCCTCTTGAACGCCACTGCCATCCCAGTCCCTTGCAGGTTACATTTAAGGGAGAGACAGAGTGGCAACCGTTGGAGGAGATGAACTCAAGTGGAACATCAAAGATGCGAAACGAAGAGTGAAGAGGCGTTTGTCCAGCAGTAGATAGAGACTGGAGGAGGCTGAGGAGGCCGCTCAGGCTGCACCCTGGCCTCCGTGAGGAGGGGCCCTCGCCTGGCACGTTGGGCAGCTCCACCGTCGCTTCAGCCACCCGTGGATGCACTGCAGCAGAGGCGCAGGGACGCACGCAAGGTATGCCGTCAATACCCATGGCACGGACACGGACACGGCCTCACGGTGGGTAAAGGCATGTGTCGGCACACAATTTGTGCCGTCTCCACATACAAAATAAATAAAAAGTAGACGTTTTGATCCATCGGTTTATTTGCATTCTATAGAGGCCAATATTATCCGGCAGATTGTGTTTGAGCAAACTGGACTGGTCCAGAGTTTGTGTCCTACAACCAACGCTTGAAAAAAAATCCCTCAAGCCAGCAAACAGTACGAGGGATGCGAAACATACACGATTCTAGCAGACACAGCACACAGCTCGATCACGCAGCCAGAAGAGACAGCTCGATCACAAACCCGCTACCACTCGACACAGCCAATGAGTAAGGTTCGTCACGTGAACAAAACGTGGCAATTCGGGACTAGTTCAGCACACCGGTGTGTTGGAGAGTAAACCCACAGATTGTTGTGACGGCTCTCACACAAACCAGCCACCTCGTCAATTGTTATTTTATTTACACGTGACATTGAGTCGAGCCTGGCGCTGCCCAGCTGCTATTCCTCACCTTCCTGTGGAAGCGATGGCTGCACCAGATTTGCTGCACAGAGCCCGGGCGCATGACAGACTTGCACACGGAGCACACCTCCTCCAGATCGTCCTGGACACAGCACAAAAGTCAACAATCCCCCGCATAGCCTGAACAGACTGTTGGGGCAAGTGCTGTTAGCGAGCACCGACACGAGGGGGTGGGTGGCCAGCGCCACGGCCGACCCCCTTCGTCTCCCCGGTGGCGATTTTTACACAACGCACCAGGTACTCATTTGAGGTTGAGTCGACCTCGGGGAGGCCCAGGGCCGTTTCAGAGAATCGTCACTGGAGTTGGCCGTGAGCGGGAATTGAACTCGGATCGCTGGGTTCGTCGCGTAGAGGTCAGCTGCGACACCGCTCCCCCCCACACGCCCACGCACGTGTGCGCGCAGTCGCTCCCATCACACAATGCACCCTCTGTGCAGCACACGCTGAGACCAGCGGGTATAACAAGAATTAGTCTGCGAGAGTCATGGGCTCAGGAATGAAATGATTGCTCACGGTCCCAATACGTGCACTGAATCATCTAAAAATCAATATTTTTTGGTTTATACAAATTACTGTACATGCAAATTGATGCGCTGTATAAGCAAATATCACATTTAAAGTACTGTAGTAGAGTGCGTGGGAAAGTGCAAATGAGAGTAATGTTCTTTGCATAACAGTCGAACTGATATTTGAATGATCATAGATGAAATTTAACCATATTAAGTGTAGAATCAAATGATTGCCACTAAATTTTTAATGCAATCGTTTAGTTAAATACCCACATGTTTAGCCATTTAATTCACTGATGGGTAATACTGAATTGGGAAGTCAATACCGGTTGTCATATGAAGAGACTGGGCCCTGACCATACGAATGTGGAATTTCCATCACTGGCTCGGAGCCACAAACGCAGATTAAAATAATTCCAATGTCATCTTAGCAGGGAGTAACTGTGTCCTGTGACTTGAATTGCCCGAGCCTTACTCTCCAGGGGAGGGCACGCACCGTACGCGGCCACTTCCGATAACAATGGGTCCACGTGGAGGCCACACACACTGCTCGGCTGGCCAAGCTCCAACATCGCTCCGAGCCCCCTGAACCCCTCAAAAGGGCCGCGGTGCTGCATGACTCGATGTGACCTCTGGTGCAGCGTTTTTTTGTTGTCTCTTTCTAAGACCCAAAATTCAACGTGGAGTTGAGTGAGCATGGGGCAGTGCTCATTGTCCGTTTTCAACCCCTGAGCCAGTGTTGGAAATTCCACATTCCTCTGGCTGGGGGTGACTTTTAAGAGAGGACAACCACTGTTGAACTTCCCAATAAAGCGGTGCTTATTTTATTGACTCGAAAGAGCTAAAGAGTTAAGGTGATTCCTCGTTAGGGTTTAGTAATATGAGGCCAGGGTAGATAAGCATTTAAGAATGAGGGGTTTTCCATATATAACTTATTGAAAATCTTTCACTTTTGAGAATAAAATTACGAATTAAAAAGAGTTGTGTGGTAGAGCAGTCACAGGGAGTGAATTGCTGTTCCGTTACTATTGAGGGATTGTGGCTCAGCGTTAGTGGCTCACAAAGGTTGCGAGTTCAAATCCTGGTTGGGGGTTCATTCAGCCCATCGTTCCTCTGGGATCGATAAAACAGGCACTACTTTCTGGGGAAGTCAAAAGTGGTTGTCCTATGGATAAACGCGCCCCCACCACAGGAACATGAAAAATTGCCACCACCATCGGCTCAGGGCGGTAAACAGGAGATGGGCGCCAATGCCTCAATGCTCATTTGAGCCGTACATAATTTTGACGTTATTTTAGTTTTTAGCAACACTTACAAAGGACATCGGCTTTTTGCTCCACCAGCCAAACTTCTTCATGATGACGAGTTTCCAGGACTGCGGAGCTGGAGGGAGGCTGTGCTCGCCACCCTCAGGTGACACTCTGGAAGGGGCCCCGCCACCTCGCCTTGGGTCACACACGTGGAGGCCTTGCTGGGAGGGGCAGCGGTCGGGCGGCGACTCCAACGGTGACGCCGCCCGCGTCACCGGGCCCACGCGAACGCTCGACGCCCGTTCACTTTGTGACAGAGTTCCCCGCGCCGGTTGCTCCAAGAGGCTCGAGACGCTGTTACGCTTGGAGATGGGGAGCCTTTGTGGCTTGGAACGCAGCGACGCAGCGTCTTGCTCGCTCTGTAGCCCCGAGGGTTGCCATGGGCCTCTGCTCGCCAACCACGACGCCTGGCCCCCGTGCTCTTTTGCTGCAAAGCCTGAAGAGGCCTGCGATGCGGGGTGAAACGTGTGGGTGAAGAGCTTCTGACTGCAGCCGGGTAGCGTCGAAGAGGCTTGTGGGGACGGAGTCCTGAGGCGCTCCTCCGGATGTGAGAAAATCTGCTGGGCGTTTTCAGAGACCCTGCGGCGATGCCCATGAGGCAACTTGGACTGCAAGACCTGAGGGCGTGAACAATAACTTAATTAAATGCGTAGGTTTTTGCAGCCGATATTATGGCTCATTATTGATTTCTGGGTTAGGCTGCATAATGGTCTGGCCAAATTTGTGCCGGAAGACCCTTCACCACCCAACGTAGTCGAACAAATTAAAATTGTCACGTATACAAGCCATAAACGCGCCAAATATTATTGTTGATGCTCATCGGTAAGTTGAATAGCAATCCTCACAACCGCATTGAGCAATTCGATTTGCGACGTTTCACTTGAAACTGTGTCGATCATCTTCAGGACAAGATTTGACAATATCATTGCGTGGCTGGAGACAGCGGTCAAGACTCCGCTACTCCTAACGCGGCTGTCTGGACTTGATCACCTGGATGTAACATTGCAGTGGGTGCTCAGGATCTACGTCAGCCATACGAAAGAAGAAGATGATGTGTCCCCCGACAAAAATCGATTATGAATGATAACAGAATTCACATTCGCTTGCATTACAATTATATCATTGTAAACGTTTATCATTTTTGTTACAAGCAGAGTTCATGATGCCTGAGAGTTTTAACATTAGCTTGTACTGTGCAGGACATTTATAGCGCATGGTTGTGTGGGCAGCAGTCTAAGCAGTGTTGTATGCTAGTGTGTCTATGCACGTACACTCTGTGTACAGGGTGATCCATTTATTAAAAAAAAACTCACTAAAATAATAGGGATAAATTATCGGAAAAACTAAATGTTACATGTCTTCTAACAATCTCCATACACTTATTAAATCTTGCAACACTCTCCTGATACACTTTGTCCAACATAGCCACCCTGGTCCTGATCGCAGAGACCGTGTCGAGTGAATCACACACCATGGCAACGCGAATGATAAACTTCTTCTCTCGCGTTCGCTACTCTCTCATCGGCTCTCTAGACACCGGAGCCTATTACTGGTTTGGTGTCACCGAGACGAAGCATCCACGCAGCTCTCTCGCCCACGGAAGTAGATGTCACAGGGCTACTGCTGAGATCTCTTCCAGTGACCCCCAGACCGCACGGTAGGGGGCAACTCTTCCTCACCTGCCTTGCAAACAACCGTGATGTTCAGCGCATGACAGTCAAACTAATTTATTTAATATTCAGAGCTGTTCTTTTATAGCTTTAAAAAGTCCAGCTCAATGGACTCAACTATAATAGGCAGGACATTTGATGAAACTAAGAAATAAAGATGTACATTTTAAATATGTATGGATCAACATAATAAAATATTGCCGATCCACTGCTGGACGAAAGCCTTCCCACGCCATCACCATCATCACCATCCTTCATTGATGCCATCTAGCTCGCTCCCGCAGATGAGCCGATCTCATCACCTCATCGCTCTTGGACGAGTTATCTCCTTTTCCTGCCATTCGGTCACAGGTCTCGCCCTGTCGCCATCATCCACCCCATCTCGGGATGTGTACTGCTGTCGGCACGATGTCTCTGGTGAGCGTTTGTTCCCTGATTCATTTGGCCGGTTTTTTTTCTTCTCTCCCTCACTTTTAATTCCAAGCACGTAAGCAGCATCATTGCAAAGATGACTAACTTCAACGTAAGAGTGACCGACGTCTGAATTTACAGGATTATTATATTATACTAAGAAACCTTACGTTTCGAAAAAGAATAAGGTATAAATAATAAGCTTTTTTTTCAACAAGACAACATTTTTCACGTAAACCTCTGAACCACCAGTTTCCCATAAATGAAATATGATTACTCTGTATAACCCTGACATATTCACCAGACATTATCTCGGATAAAAAAAAATCAAACAGGCGTAGTGTGTAAACGCAATAAATCCAGTCTATGAATTTACTCATCCATCATTGTTAGCGTTTGAATACAAGTGCCATTTAAATAGAATCCCAATGCAAGATATCATTGTATCCTAAAGCAATATATTATTGTACTTTAAGGCGCCAGGGACGGCATGAAACATTTCAGCTAAGTCCAGGTGACAGCATGTTTCCTTCGTCACAACATTTCCCAAAACATACATTATCATTTTTGCGCAATAAGCACCTGCTTTCACTATCAAACAAAGACACGGGCCAAGTGTAAAACCTGCACGCAATACATTGTGTAAATATAGCAGCAATATCAGTTTATCTTCATACATAATGGTAGAAGTAATACATTAAATTAATAGAGAAAACATTTTTAAAAAGTTCCATATGAAAATCCAAACTCTGTGCTTTTCTATTCATGGGTGCTACCAGGACACATTGCAAACATATTCAGAACCCTCCCTACGTCTTCCCCCCCTCCCGACCGCTTCCTTACCCCCTTCACCACTTGAGGTGCGTTGTCTTTCCCCTTCCCTCCCCATGTAAACTTTTTTCAGTTTAGTTTCAGTTTATTTTGGTATAGCCCTGTGAGCCATTCGGCTCTTGAATCGGGTGCAACCACAACAAACAAACAAATAAAAACACGAACAAGAAAAACATCTTAAAGTGACTTTGTGACTGTGCAAACAGAAAATCCATGATAAAAAACAGCAAAATATTCCTGAAAAAAGCACCGTACACCAACGCTGTGTGCAAAACATCCCAGTGGGATGCAAGTCAAACAACAACAACCACAAGAAAACTTAGATTAAGGCCGTCAGTCTAACTCCGTACTACAACAAAACAAACATGTCCAAACCAAAAAACGTTTTCGAAATCACCAAAAAATAAAGCCATAATTGCAACGTAACAGTGATCACAGGGACTGTGACCGATTTTTTTTTTACAATAAACTACATAAATAACATGTAACACCAAAATCCTTCTCGTAGCCGCCAATGTGGGTGGAGCGGAGAGCCCAAACCTCCCTCCTCATTAAGCGTCTCGCTCGGGCTGTTGCCGGCGGAGTTTCTGTGCCCCCCTACCCCGACCCCTCGTACTGTGATCGCTGCTTTGTACTGAGCTTGCGTTGTTTTGTAACAAAGCAATACAAAAAAAACATATTCACAACCCATTGCCACTCAAGAACAAACAAAAAACCTCACGATGAACCAAGAGCTGGGACACTGATAAAGCACAACGGTTCTGACAGTTTGCTCGAAGGCGAGTGAACAAATATCCTGGAAATTGGTTGTGGGGGCGTGGGTGTAAGTTTTGAAGGTTGCACAGATGCCTTTTTGCGTGCACCTGTTGGAATCGCATAACAGCAGCATTGCCAAGTTGTTAAAGCATTTTAAAAGTGGTGTTTCTGAAATTCGCCCAATGAGCCTGACAGCTGTTTTCTATCCACGTGAAAAGTCTGCCCGACATTGATGTCACAGGCTTAATCGTAGAGCTCACCAATCTTGCCACATATTTAATACAATTGTGCTTATTCATAATCATGAAAACTTGATATGTAATTTTCAGCCAATGAGAATCCAATGGAATACAAAACGCGTATACAAGAAAACGAATATATATGTCTACCAAAGCGTCAAAGTCCATGAGCCCAGACCAGATCTACCACCTGTCTCTACCACCTGGGGGGCCAATGAATGTCGTGGCTCCAATTTCTTAAAGTGGACAACAATCGAGAATTACGTGAGAACCATTTGCAATGAGTGGGCTATCAACTAAATGACTCTCGTTTTGGGTACTGTGGGTAAAATAACTCGCAATATTCTGCACGGGAAGTCTAGAATTCCATAACAGAGGGCAGGCGACCATAGTACAAGTGACGGGGCTTTTGTTGAGGGAGCCATGATGTCACAGCATTAGCTCAGGCGTTTCTAGACATATTTAATTGATTTAAAAGCAGCAGTAGCCAATATAACCAGATGGCAGTCTCGTGAAATAATAACAAGTATTACTATCATTAAATTTAGCAGCATTCACTCAAAAGCGATTCTCAAAACGCTGAACATTGTGAACCACATTTTTTCCATAAAAAAGAAAGATGAGAACACCGCAGGAACACAACACAAGAGCAGGGAAGGGCACGGAGATAAACATGCGATAGTGGTCTCAATTAGTGTAGCTATTAAGGCCATCATCCTGCCATCGAATAATCAGGCAGGCATCAAATAATTAGAGAGTGGAGCGGCGTCCGATAGAGACGCTCCAGGCACGGGGCGTACTTCCTGCTTCTCGACACGAAGGGTCACTCTCATTTCCCTTGGCTGGCATTCAGCTCTGCAGCGCAAGTTAAATTTAAATGTCTCTATGTGGAAACATCAACAGCAGCAGCAGCCGCCGTTGGCCTGGCCTGTGCCAGGCCAGGTGCACTTTGAGGCCACGTGAAGTGTCGAAGGCTCGCTGGCGGGAGGAGGTCACGGAACAGAACCGGGGTTGACTGCCTGAAAGAGATGACTGGCAGATGCACCAACTGTGTTTCCCACTGACTGTGCCAACTTTCTACGACCATGGCTACACAGGTACGCGTGCCAACACCGCCACCTGTTGGTTCACTGAAATTTCCTCGTGTGTGGGCAGCGGTTGCGGTAAAGGCAGCGACAGTGCCACTAAAATATCACCTCCGATAAAATCTATGGGCTCGTGTCCCTGTGCACATTCAGAGCTGTGGGAATTCCCGAGTGGCCGCATTTGCTTTCTGTGAACTCAGCCGGCTCGGTGAAACTCATAAGTTGGGTCTTTGGCACTGTCGTTTCTGGTAAGCTGCTGAGGGTGGGCAAGAGAAAACCCCACTCCCACACAACAAGCGAAATGTTGGCACTCGCTCTCTCGCTGGCACACCGGCATCTCAGTGTGTGAGTGCATCTGTGTGTGGAGTGTGTGTGTGCATATTAATGAGTACATGGTGCGATGTGGAAACATCGCCACTAGGGAGACAAAGGCGGCCGGGCGTGGTGTTGGCCGCCCACCCCCTCGTGTGCCGTGCCGGCACTAACAGCAATTGCCCCTACAGTCTGTTAATGCTCTACGGGGGATCTTTATATTTGTCTTTCTTATATTAACGAAGGCCAACACGACCCAGGGCCAGTTCTGATATTTGCCGCTGATGTTGGCCATGAGCGGGAGTAGAACTGA